GGACATAGATGTGTCGAATGTACATTTTTTATTCATATTAGTAAAGACAAACGTGTAATGAGAAAAGAATTGTGAGAAGTCTAAATTTTGCTCAATAATGATAAATAAACGCGAAATAAGTATATATATATATATATGTGTGTGTGTGTGTGTGTGTGTGTGATGTGCATTTTACTGATTCAAAAATAACAATGACAAATAAACATTTAATAAGTATATAGTCATATGCTCATTCACAATAATAATGGCAAACAATTGAGTAATAGGAATATAGATATGTCGAATCTGCATTTTAATAATTCAAAATAATAATGGCAAATAAACGTAAAATAAAGATTGAGATACAGTATGTGTTTTATTGATTAAGAATAATAATAATGACAAATAAACATGTAGTAAGCATACAGTTGTGTGCAGTCAAGTAATATGATGTACTTTTTCTTTCATTGATTAAGTTGTGACATTTCCAAACTTTTTGTAAGAGACATTGTTTGCTTAAGCCATTAAAAATATTTTTTCATCGTATAATTTAATTTTTTGCGTTATTGATAAAGAAGTTCCATTTTATATATACAATCAAGTTCAATTTAATTTATGTTCATTAACAATATTCTTTTTATTTTTTTATTATAGTAGTCTATCACTTCTGCTTATAAATTGTAAAAAACACAGCAAAAACTGACAAAGATTTATCAGTTATCTACGACCTGTCCCCAGTGAGACAGTCTATAGACTTACAATGCTAGTATCCGAGGTTCGATTTCTCTTTGAAAACACAGAAGATAGCCCAATGTGGCTTTACTCTAAAACAAACAAACAATTTGTAGCCTGATCTGTTACAGAGAAGTCAGTCAAGATATATTTAGTTTGTTTTCAATAGATAATAAGTTTTTTTCACTTATATACACGGTCAAATCCCATTAATCTTCTGACAAGAATAATCCAAGAGTTGAAGGTGGGTGATGTTGACCAGTTACCTTCTTCCTAGTCTATCACTTCAAAATTACGGATAACTTAGCGCAGATAACCCTCGTGTAGCTTTGTATCAAACATAACAAACAAATATATTTGCGTTGTTTGTATGAGATGAACTTAATGATAATATTCACTAAATAAGGATTTGAGTCACACTTGAATCATCAGAATATTTTGCCGTTGCCTACCCGTACTCTCTAACCCATATCAGTTTTATATGATATCTTGTCATACAATAAGTTTTCCATAGCTTTCAAACAAATATAATATAGCAAAAAGTATTATTGGAACAGAAAGGACAATTAAGGCAACTTTGAAAAAAATCCCAGATCTGTGGTTTGTTCCTAAGTTTTCTAAACCCCCCACTAAATTCTGTTATTTTTTTCTGCAAAAACTACATCTATTCACTTTCCCAAGAACTTAAATTATTACTCACACCACTTTATTCACTTTGCAATGGCGTAAGTACTTTTATCTGCTTTATACGATAATATGCAAGCTTTGTCTATAGCTATGTTCAAAAGTGATATCAGCACTTGTTTACATCAGATGATGTGAGGTCATATAAGGATGTAACTGAGAAGCTGTACTAATAAAACCATAAAAAGATTTGCTTGTTTGGTGAATTTCGCGGAAAGCTACTCGAGGGATATATGTGCTAGACGCTCCTTATTCAGAACTGATAGACTAGAGAGAAGACAGCTAGTCAACACCACCCACTACCAACTCTTGGGCTACTCTTTACCAATGCAAAGTGGAATTGAACGTCACCTTATAACGCCCCCATGACTGAAAGGGCGAACATGTTTGATGACGGGATTAGGGCCTAGACCTTCACATTGCTAGTCGAGTGCCCTAGCCAGAAGACCATCGAAGAAAGAGGATTTATGTGAGAAACAAAATTTTGAGAATTATAATCTCAAGAGATGATAGTTTATTAGTTAACATCCTAGTGAACAAAGATGTAGGTAGGATGTCATGAATCTGCTTTAACCTCAATGTTTAGGTCCAATATTACATACCACAATGGTAATTTATTAGAAATTGTACTTAAAATCTCGTAAACTGCAGGTGTTTTATTTAATTTTCCTCTTAATTAAGAGGAATGTGGAAAAACAAATATTACAATTATGTTAATTTATCACAATTTTTAAACCTATTGATTTCTAATGCTTCACCAGTTTCAGCCTTTAAACTCCAATTTACTATAAACAAACAACTTCAATATAGATTTGATAGAACCAAGACTAATTTTAAGGAACTAATTTAGCTAGTTAGCGAACTGTGTGAATATATTTGTTTTTGCCCGTTAGACAATAAAGAGTGATTTATTATAACTTGTGGTTTAGTCTCTTTTCTTTTGGTGAAATCATATTTTTCTATACACCAACCAAACCTTCGATATTCCCATTGTATAAATCAACTTATTCCACGTCCAAGTACACTATAGTTGTTCAGAAAATGAAAGAGTGAGATCAGTGGACTACTCTGCTTGTTCTAGTGTTCTGACTTTGATTTCTCACTAACTAAGAAATTTTTTGCTATCTTACCTCACTTATGTAGTCTAAACTCGAAATAAAGAAATTTCTCCTGAAACTCGGTACGCTGTTTCATACAAATACATCTGTCAGTGAAACTTGTAACAAGTAATGATAAATAACTAAAACATATTATTAAAACATTATATGTTTTGAAATTTATTTAGAAAAAGACTATAAAATTATTACCTGACAAGCTATATTACAAATTAAGAATAGTGAACAGATTCATTAGACAGGAATAGATTTTTAATAATGAATTAAAGGGGGCCAACATCGCGGGCGAATGCAACATGTCTCTGCCACGTAATCTTAACATGACACCAGAAAAATCGTGGAAAACACAGAAAAATAGGAAACTGTCTGAATCATTGCTTTAAACCTGCAAGAAATTATCTTTGTACCAAATACCATGTAACTTGGTTGACATACACATGAACAGTTCACGAAAATCCGAAAATTGTGCTTTCCTCGCTGACAAACTGAGCAAAAGACAAAAATTCCAAAATTGTCTATATCTCTGTTTGAGGCCTGCAAAGGGTATCTTTGTATTAGATTCCACATAAATGTATCGAAAAATAGCCAAGTAATTGACCAATACCCCTAAAATTATGGGTTCATGTAACGTTTTGCGTATGGAACCTGTAAAAAAGTATCTTTGTATTGTTGCGTCAGCGAGGTCACGTGACTAGTTTCACGCCACTTCTCTCGAACCTTCGTGAATGCCCTAGCATTTACTAGATATATGTTTGTCTGGTATATATATAAGACGCTCACAACGTGACGGGACAACAATGTGTGTAGGTAGTGAGTAATTGATCTGCAGTGAGAAAGTATTGTTGAAGTTAACGTTCATTATAGCGTTTGTTTTAGCGCGACTGTTAAAAATAAGTGTATCGGTAAAGTTATATTCAGAAAGAATAACCAGTTTTATTAAGTAAGGACTTGTGTGGCTAAAGTTTCGTCGGAACGAAGTTATGGAAAGTTAATTAACAAATGGAGACGTAACAGTATCAAATTCTATGTAACCTGACCGAAATACGGCGGAGAAAGTGCCAGAAAACCCTAAAATTACACATTTATTCCATCTTGATCCCCCCCCCCTATAAATACTAAAAATGGGAAATGCGCCATTTGTGTTTGCCAATCTGTAGGACCCGTAGAAAAGTATCTTTGCATCAAATCCCGTGTAAATTGGTCAGAATACGGCCAAGTAATTGACCCCAAACTCAAAATTATACTTTTCGTGAGCTCTGACTCCTCCCATAAAGAATACTCAAAATGGAAAAATCCAACTTTTTTGTATGTCAGTGTGTTGGGCGCACGAAAATTTATATTTGTGCCAATTAAGTGTTTGAAAAAAGAAGAAGAAGAAGAAACAATAGACAAACAATGTGTCTCTGGGCGAAGATATAATAACAGTACGACGGCAACAACGACAAACATTTGGGACCATAACAAACATTTAATTCTTGAAACGTTTCGGAATATACGTATTCCATCTTCAGCAAGCTATGTTAAACAAGGTAAGATATTAGATACAAAGATTTGTAAATTTCTAAAGTTCCAATATTTTATAAAGATGAAATAAATTACTGAGTAAAAAGATAAAATTAATTTTAAGAAGGAATAGGATAGGTATAAAATGCAACAATTATAAAAATATTACGTTTTTATACCCTTTTTTTAAGGATTGTTCAGATTATTCAAAACAAACTTAATTGTAGCGGAGTTGTGTTATTATTCAGAGTTGAGAGTTCAATTATGATAGATAGACTTTCTTTAATTAAAAGTTCAATGTTTGATGATCCACATGAGATGATTTTGAAAATTTTAATCGAAATGAGGTGGCCGCTGTTTTCGCTATGTATGCGAATTGCGAGTATGGAGGATCTGAGAGTTGTTTTCCAGTTCTGTTTGGTACTCCAATACGTTTCAGGATCTTGTATAAAATACACATGTAGTGGTTGTAATGTCACTTACTTTGAGACCCTGCGAAGATATGGGCGTACCAAATCACCTGTCAAGATTAAAAATATCATTTGTAGTTTAACCTGTGGATAAAAAGTTTTAAGAGCAAATAATAATAACAAGCTACTGAACTTATGAAGGCAAACAAGTTAATTTATAAGATTCTTTCTACCTATATACTTAGAAAAGCATAAATTTAATATTAAATTAATATAGCGATAGAAATAAAGGAGGCTGTAGGAATTGATAGTTTGGAAGTTTCACTCATGACAGTGTGGAAAACTAGTGTTTGTTGAAAGGCATAAATCGAAACGTCGGGTTTGAATAAATTATTTTTTTCTGGAATGTGATTTGTCGTTTTTTTAAATACACTGGTTGTTTTGTTTCGTTTCAATGTACGGTAGTGATGCCTCATTTTCTTTTTACGCAGAGGAAAGAGGGGTCGATTAATGCAAACGTCATGTATACATTAAATTTGCTTTTCTTCGTGTAGTCTGGTTTCGTACTAAATTTTAATATTGTAGTACTACCAATAGTAAGATATACGTATATTTTTCTGCGTGAGGAACCAATGGTGAAGTAACCTAATTATAAATGTTAAACTCTGGATTAGGTTGATCATTGTTTATACAGTCCTGATATTTTGAATCTTACACAAACAATCTATGTGAAAGTATATGATAAACTAATATAAAGTATTTGTTATACTTTTATAGTGATGTCTCCGAAACCTAACCAGGAAGATAGGTGTGCCAATAAAGTAGTGTTAGCTCAAGGATGTTTAGCGATTATTTTTCAGCGGAATGGTGAGAATGATGGTGGTGAACATAACGTTACAACTTCTCATGGGCGAGATCATAGTGGTGAAGTACGTTTACTCGCCGAAGATGGGTACTTTTTATTCCAGGAATTTTTAAGAGAGAATAGATGTTGTTTTTGGAATGCAAGTTTGTCACAGAGTGTCGAAAATTTGCAGTATAAGGGATTTTTAACTCCTTGTACCATATTGGTGACAAGTTCAATGTACTCTTTAGAGGTTATACGCTCTGCCTGGGCAAGAAGATTGTTGCATTCTCCAACAAATTATAACATCGTTAAATTAGGTATGTATATATGCATAAACATTTCTATTCTAAGCTACTGAAAGGGAAATTAAAAAGTAGCTTTAGCTTTCACAACTCTGTGAACTCAAAGAGTCGACGCATGTAACTAAATTCGTATAAAAACAAGTTATCTACAGATTTTGAAGTTAACTTGTTTTTAATTTTAGGCCTATTGGTTTTCCGATATCCTATCAGCTTTTCATTTTTAACACATAAGTTATTCGTAGTTAAACAGTTAAAATCACCACATACTCTATTAGTAGTTTCAAGATTTTTTTGTCTAACTAAAACATTACTATTATAAAGAGATAAAATATTCAGCTATAACTAGTATAAGTACCAATTTAATATGTGGTCATAACGTATGAATATGCAAGGTCTCTCCAAAATCTTTGTTCATTAATGGCCCTAGCCAAGATATTAAAATCGTTTGAATGATTTTTATGCCACATTCATCAAGGACTTGTTCCGATATACGTGATTTATTTGGTGTTCTTAAATTTGTTTTTACTTTCACTTATGTTACTGTTAACAAACTTCTGGTAACAAAATGAAGACAATTCAAATAATTTAAATTTTATTTTTTCTGGTACCAAAAATTATAATATATGTGTATATTCAAACTAGTTAAATGCACAGACGGTTAGTTCTTGCTTATATAGTTTACACAAAAATATTTTGAAATCATACAGTTGACAAAGTCGTAGTCCATTTATTGAAAAGATGGACATGTGTTGAAGAAATCAGTAATTTCTAACTTCTTACATACTCTTTGTCTTTGCTGTATGTAGGATGCTCCAAAAATGTCACACTTGCAGCTGTTGATTTTTTTGTTGGCTTCCAACCATCTTGGTGAATTTCCCTTCTTGGGGGTTAGATGTGCAGGGCAGTTGTCAAGCAGCAAGATGGTCTTCTTTCATTGTTTTCTTTTAGAATTTTTCTAACATTTGGTATAAATTCATGATGAAACTAGTTTTAAAAATTTGATATAGTCAACTAGACTTTGGTGATAGTTGAGTATTTGCATGGTATTGATATCAACAGGACGTATTAAAATGCTGATGCTGCATTTTGGTGAGCCTTGCAAGGGAAAAAAATAATATACACAATTGAGGGGAGAAAGAGATAAGGTATTCAGAATCAGGGGAAGCACCAGGGCCTGGGATGAGTATTATCTGGCAGAAGTTTGTCATTTGTGGAGCATTTATACTTCAATAATGTTCAACACATCATGAAAATGACTAGAAATATGTTCTAAAAGGATAACTTTAAAATGTTAATTTTGGGGTCCACGACAGACCAGTGTGATACTGAGTTCATTCTATAACAGACTACGTTATAGAGGGGCCTCAGTATATTAATTCTCTTGTATGGACTCAGTCAATTCAGCTGAGTTCATGACCCCAACTTGACCTTTAAAGTTTCCATACTGTAACTTCTAATATGTTTTGTGTATCTTCATGAAATTTTCCAAGCATTCATTGAACATTACAAGCCTTTTGTAGACAAAAATCAGAATTTTTAATGAAGTATTTTTACTAAACATTTCCCTGTGAATATATGGAGTCAAAGTGTTTACTACTTCCAGTGCAAAGTGATTTTACTATTAAGATTATAAATACTTTTCTTCATCTAAAAATTGTCATATTTCATTTACATAATCTCTTAAAATTTCCTAAATAAATTTCAAATGTTTTATTTTCAGTAAAACTATATTTTATCTGTTATTTTCTCTTCCCTAATTCTATATGGGGCTGGTTAATTTGACTGAATGTGTAACCACCTTACAATTATCCTTTTGTTCTTTCTAGAACAAATTCAAATTGTGACAGGAAACTACATATATTTGTCTAAATAGGTTAACCCTTTCGATACGGGTCACAGGTGAAAGGCCATGTCATCTTGTTTGTTGACTCATATTCAAAATTTTATTGAACTACT